ACACTGGATCATATAACTATTTTCAATTAAACTGAACAATTTTTACCTTTTCAGGTCAACAGTGGTGACATTGAACACAACTCCTTTCAGCCACAGGATCATGAAGAGACGCTGGGAGAACGGGCAGTTCCCAATGCTTTCTCCATCTATACCAGCCTGAGGGATGGAAAGAGAGGAAAAATAGATTTCAGACTTGTTAGTCACTTGCCTCCCTCAAGATGGAAAACTGGATGTTGAAAGAAAAATAACCAGTTTAAAAATAACTGACAGTGCCTTTTATTTAATAGTTTATCATGAGCACAAGAATGGAGTTACTCCAGGATTCAGCCTTCGTCAGGAGCTTGAGAAAGCAACCTGGTGTCTCTCCTGAGGACAGCTCTTGGTAAAGATGTGTCCCTTGCTGATGGCAAGGAACATCCAGAAGACTGCATATGCTTTCAATTACTCTCATCCCTACAGGACTGCCGGCTTCATGGACGTGCTAAAAAACCCAGGACAGGTTTTCTCCTCTATTTAAGCCTGTGGACTGCAGCTTACACCAGCTCAAGACTTGCTTCACTGTTTTACTATCCAAAATGTGCACTTTCAGATCTAGATTTAAACCCAAGCACTCCGGACATTCACTTATTTTTGTTCATATCCAGTAAAGCAACAGCCTCAGACACAAACAACCAGATCCAGACAGAAAACTCCATCTGAATGCTTCCAAGGTTGAAGGCAGATTTCAGCCACTACATTCAGTCTGTTCCTATCTCTAGTACCTAATGAGCCGCCTACAAACCACTACAAAAAATAAAAAACTGCTAGTGTTAGCATTGAGGAAACAGCTTATTTTTTCCTCTAAAAATTTATGGTCCTTAGCCATGCAAATTCTGACTTTGAGCCATGGAGGGATACAAATAACACCAGCTGAACTGAGCCAAAGCTGCGTCCAAGGACAACATCCCTCTACAATAATTATGCTTGTGGCCAAAGCTTTCAGGACGATAATGGTTTTGATAAATTCCCATTTTAATTTGTGGTACCATTGTGTTTGAAAGATTCTTATAATCCTGGTGAAGCAACCAACCTTCCGTTGTTGACCCACATGGGTTGCATAACTATATTTTATGCACAGTGTGTGTCCAAAACGGCTGATGAAAGAGCTAAGCAAATACATGCCCTTTTCCTTTGGAGAAAATATTACATTACTCTGTTTGCTCTCATAAATTTTATCTTATTAATATTCAAGCTGTGAGGTAGCATTTCTCTGTCTTAAAGAAGGAATCATTTCTAATTATTGAAGTTCTGTGAAACATTCACAGCACAACTAGAAACATTTTGAGATGTGTCCAGTTGCTACAAATTCAGGCCTTGCATGTAAAATGTTTAGCTGAAAGATTTTCTGGTAGGCATCATGAATCTTTCTCAGGTCTTGAACGCAGCTTTTGATGACTCTGGTTTTAAAAACAAATTCCAGATTTCCCATCCACCAAAATATGGAGAGAGTGCGGATTCAAGGCTTGGAGACAACCCATCATAAAGTTTAAGGCTATGTAAAGAGTTTTTCTCTGGCTTCAGATTCGGCTTCAAACACTCAGACTCTACAGGTATTTCGATACAAGAGTACAGTTTGGCTGCACTTTCACCTGAAATTACGGATCTGCAATATGCTTGGCACATGGCATGTGCAAGAATCATCAAATAATTTGAGAGAAAGAGTAGTATGACATGAGAATGAACAAGAGAAGATGCATTATCCCAACTGTCTGAGGTGTGAGTAGCCTAGCTTTGCAAAATTTTATTAATTAAAATTCTCCATTCTGCAAATTTCATGGCAAAACAACGATAGTGTTACCATGGGAATACCAGGCACCACCGTACTACATGCAATAATTACTGCAAAGTTACATTTGTTGTTTTGGCTTTGGCTTATTAAACCACTGCAAAGAACTTTTAACTTCTTACCCTTCCTGAAAAGACGCAAATGCTATAGGAGAAAACCATGATACGACATCAAATTTCCCTTGGCTTTTTCACCATCTCAATCATAATCACATCCTCAGTTAGAGTTGCTAACTGAGTGTACCAACAATATACTACAAAGCTAAAATTGGAAGAAAAACAGATCGACGAGTGAATTAGAGAGCAAAAGAGTGCAGACAGAAGGGCTGATTCTCATCTTACCTTCTCTGAATTTACTTTGGCTTATAACTCCATTGAGTCTGATTCTCTCTTCACCTGACTCCCTCCAAAGTGAGTGTAAAACCCTAGGTTGCCAAGTGCTGCAAATACCATGTGAGCAAAGGGGTCTTGTCTCACAATAACATGCAAAGCTCCATCCCTCCTGTGGGTCTCCATCCTGCAGGGAGGCAATCTCCTACCCATCCTCTTCACCCACTTCTTGCGCTGCAAGTAACAATTTTACCTTTTTGCAGGAAAGAGACTCAAGGAGACCATTTCCCTGCTCTCTCCAATTATATATCCTCATACAAATGCTAAGGGTTACTCAGATCTACATCTTTTTACACATTCTCCATCCTGCAAGGCAACAGCAAAAAACCCTCTCAAGACCAGAGAGGATTATTGGAGAAACAAAGCAGATGAATGGCAATGAAGACACAGAAGTGATGGATCACGTGAGGTTAAAAGATGCAGAAGTCATTAGGGATGGGAGAAAGATGTGGAGTCTGGAAGAAATAAGATTCACTTAGACGTGAATAATAAAATTAATTGTGGAGGTCAAATGAGGCCTCCAGCAGCCCCAAATGGTCAAAATATCTTCCCAATACTTCCAAAAGAGTGAGAAACTTTAATTGCTAGAGACACATTGGGAATAGACAGAGGAAATTCCAGAACTGAAAGATAAACTGAAGAAAAAGTACAGTATGATCTCTGTTCAAAGCTCCTGGATCTGGAAGCCAGGCTCATGATTTGGGTGGAGTCTGACTCATGGGTTTTGATCTCATGTGACTGGCATAACTGAAAACGCTACCGCAAATCACAAGGCAAACTGGTGACAGAGGGAATGGAATCAAAATCTCCCCAGCAACACAATTTATCCATTAAATCCAGCTCTTTTTTTGCAGAAATTATAGGCAAGGCTCTCTCGGTTTTGTGAATCCTTTCTCATTGCTTCCAACAGCAGTCAGTAATTCAACGTTCAGCACTCAGAAAAAGCAAAACCTTAGTAGGTAATAACTTCAAAGGCTTATCAGAGTGTCTCGAGATCCCTTGCGAAGTCTATTAACTACCAGGAGGAGATGAGGAAGAACAGAGAACTTCCCAGGCTTAGTCAGTCTTAGCTTCAAAGAAAAACAGCTTGCTTAAAGCGCCTCTGTAGTGCCTAAATACAAACCTATTATGTATCTGTCCAAGGTTAAGGGCTCAGAAATGCAGGAATTAAATAATACCTTCATCAAGATCAAGAACTCCAACAGTAGATGGAAAGAAAAGAACAAATAATTGACATGCTGGAGAAACACCATTTATCCCTGCTGTTATTCACAAACGAGCACAAAAGCTTTCTCACGTAGCTTCCCCGAAGCAGAGCAAAAGTGATCAACCACTTATAAAAAGGAGCAAGTTGATGAGATGTTCACTCTCCGTGCTGGTAACAACAGATATTTCTGATTTAATGATTGCTACTAGGGATAGACTTGAGGCTTTGTGGGCACTAGGGTCAAGGAAATAGAGTTTTTAAAGTGCATTATAACTCCCAAAGCTACAAAAAGGTTTCAGAGCCACCTTCTCCCTGCAGATGGGCAGTCGCTCCTGTTCCCTAAGGAGAAGGACCTCACCCGAAAAGGGAAATTCCCAGAGTGACTGTGGAAGAGTAAAATGGATTTCACGATTTGCTAAGTGAGAGTCTTCAGCCAATGCTTTTCCCACTGAAGCTTAACTGAGATGCCTAAGGGAAGGTTCTCCTGTGCGGACAAGGCCAGGACGTACACCCAAAAGATGACTCTGGCCACCTTTCACTTTGACTGAATCAAATGAGTGTTTGACTTTAGGTGGGATGAAAGCGGATCCCAGCAATAGAAAAGCTTGGAGTTTGTGAAGGCAGAATTTCTAAAGAATTATTTTGCTTCATCTTGGAAATATCACTTTCTGCTCCCGTTGCTTCACGCAAGCTTACTTTTATTAGTTTATCTACTAAAAAAGTATGCTTTTCTACTTAACCTCCAGCTGTTTAGGTACTTCACATCAAATGGTCAAGGTCCTGCCCTGGAACTCAGTATAATCGCATCAGGAAAATCCCATCATCATACCAGCTGCTTGCCTCCGTCTGAGTAATGGCAAGAATGAACAAGATGTTCTCCTTTATAATTTATAAGGCACTCCTCCTCAAATACTTCAGCTATTTTTAATGAATTAATTAAACCTTAAAGATATTTATGTGCACAAGCGGGGGATGTACAGACACATTACCAAGGAAAAAAATTAAGGAGGTTTGGGCGAGGGAAGAAAAAAAAAAGTCTTGGGGATTTTATGAGTTTGTGTCAAATATTTTTGTAAAGCAGCAGTAGCATCGAAAACCTCCAACCACTGCACAGCACACCTGAACGACGCGAACAGGGAGCTCTTCTTGGATTCAAGCTACTATGTTATAAATGAAATAACTGGAATAAACTTATTAATTTGTTCTAAAAATACTCCAATGGTACATGTAGTGACTGCAAGGCACGCAGACAACTATGTATTATTTTAACTAACCTTAAGGGGAGGGAAAAAAGCAAGTTTCCTTTCCAGTCCTTCCCAAAATATAGCAGCTTTAAAGAAATATACCATCATTAATATTGACTAAGCACCTAGCTTAAAATGGCAGGGCTGGAAAGAGTTGCATATCGGAAAGCACTGTGTTTTTTCCAGGAAAATAATAAATTTGGTTTTATCTATTCTCCTTCTCTTTTCATTTTTCGTTGCATTGAGGCTGTTGCACAGCAGTCCAGTGCTCTCTTGGACTTAATGGTAAAGCAGGCAGGTAATTCTGATGACACTAAAACACTTTTCATTTTTTTAACAAGTTAGCAAAAGCAGGGAGGCTAATTCACCTCAATGTTTCCAGTAAGGATTAAGAAGGGATTTGATTTCATCATCCCTACAATCAAAATCTAGACTCACATTACACATGGTTACACCCTCTGTTTTAAAATTGGGAAAGTGTCTGCCTTTTG